GTGCATTCTCAAACTTTTTAAATTGATATTTTAGATGTCCATGTTCGTTGTGTACTACGGTGTTCTGCAAAACGGAATGCTGGGTTCAATCAACCAACCTCCATCAGTGCTCTGCTGACGCTCTGATTATTTTATCACTCCGGGTGTCAGCTTGTCTAAGTTTAGCAGATCAAAACGCCAGGAGGTTTTGGTCTTATGTATGACGAAATGAAGATATTTCGCGGATGAACATCGAGGCACCGCTATATCGCTTTCTACACATTGTTACCAGGTTTGTTGTGGTACAGGAAGCTCACTAACTATAAACCTTCATGCAAAGATTTCTAGGTAAAGATAGTAATTATCATTCGGCTGTAACATCCTTTCGGTGCCTAGCTGCCATGCCACCCAAAGAGAGCACGATGGTTGGGATACTGCCCGGCTGCCCAAGCCTAGACAAGTCGAGAGACAGAGGTCGGGTTCGAACCACGGGCCTTCCGGTCAGTAAAGCCGCACTCTAACCAATTGAGCCATCTCATCCCTGTCACTGACTTCCAGGTAAGCACCCACAGTTCATAATTTACGAAAACTGGCTTATTAGTGGCAAAATAAAACGCCTATAATTATTTTTCCGCATAAAAAAATGCATGGCAAACAAGTCATTACTCGACAAGGTGTCGGATCTGAAAAAAAAGAACCGCAGGCAGCCGATTTCGAAGGGGAAAGAGAGAGCCAATCAGTGGTCTTCCTCCGAACCAGCCATGTTAACCAATCAGAAATAAAGTACACTAATTTACAAACGAATATGGTTTCAACGGGAAACACAACGGGTTCCCAACTGATAATCCCCCAGATAAAAGTGACGCAAAAAATTCCACCACGTGTAGGACGGAAGATTGACGACAATTCGTAGACTTCGCCCTCTTGGTGAGTCCCATGGAGGATGAAAGTGACGGTGAAGTTTTCAGCAGCCTATTGAAGTTGCTCAGGTTTGTGTGGATGACCGACTGTTATGACAAGTGGATCATTAAATCCAACCAGGTGGAATATTCCACTACAACGCCATAAAACGTAAGGGCAAATAACAGCAATCTGATTCAACTTCATACTGATTTCCCCTATACAATTTCTCATGCGCGCTAGTCATACATGATGATCAACAAACAAGAACTTTTGACTAAACGTGGCACACTACTCACAGGGTTGCTGAAAAGGACTTGATGGCAGCGTCATGCGTAATATGTTAAAGTTAGATAATGTACTGCGATATATCGATTATCGTATCAACTGTAACACGAGGTGGCCTGATGCAACACACTGAAGATAATCGTCTTAAGCAGAAATTCAGCTGTTGTCAGTTGAGTTTCCCGTCGAAACGAAATTCGTATGCGACTGATCAAGTCGGTCAGTTAAAAGAGACCTCAGTGTCTGGTTCTCTGTCTGGCATTAAGTTCGGTCACATGAGTCTCTCATGAAAGCCAAATTGATTTGTAGATGAGTGTATTTCTCGAAAACAGTCAAGTAGAACATAAGTTTGTTGACGGAAACTCGGGAACTGCGCCTACCTGATGAGCCCAAAGAAGTGCGAAACCGGTCGTGGGCTGTCGAAGGGTTTTCAGCGACCTTGTGAGTAGTGCATTGCGAATAAAAATATGTCGCGGTATTTCGAATATCGTAGCGACTGAAACATGAGGCGGCTTGGTGCACCACATTCAGTTGCCTAAAAACATCACAAACCAGGGATTTAGCTGGGTTCCAATTGAGTCTCTCGACAAACCAAATTAGTTTGCAAATGAGTGTATATCGCTAAGAACGTAGTCTGTTTTCCTGCAGTGAAAGCACCAAACAGTAGACAATCTTGGATATCATTTACCCAGACGTACTTGACCGGTATGATGATTACTGCCAGGCGAGGTGTATTTTTGTCCGTGGATTCCAATCGATAAAATAACTGCGAAACAAAGGCAAATTTTATCATACCCGGAATTCGATGATTCAGCTCATCCTGTATTTAATTTTTGCCGCCTCCACTCTGCATCTCAACTGTGATGTGTTCCAACTCATCGTGTTTTTATCGACCAACTCAAGGCCAGTTCGGTCGATATGACCCTGCCAATTTGTCAGTCGTTTTGTAAAGTGACATGACAGGGGTTCTTCCATAGGGGTACGTCCGTGATTTAAGAAGTTACCTTCTCAAAGAATCGTTATTCCTTGAAATGCCGATTTTATGAGCGGTGGAAGCGTTACGTCTTGAATATCGTCATCAGGCGCCACATTTAAGCTGAGGTGAGGGTCCTGATACTATAATCTCGTTCATACCCCCCTTCCGACGGCCTTTCCGCATGAAGATTGTGACCAGAGAAACTCCGACCTCACGGGGAAAACGCTTTTATGATATATTTCGCACCGACTTATCGACCGATCAATAAGTACTCACTTTATCAACTACATTCACGCGAATGAAGTTGTCCAGATAGATTTTTTTCTCTTGACCTGAATGAATGTGCTCAACATTGGATTGGACCTGCCAAATTCGCACTGCAGAAAAATGCAGTTGAGTGCACTGCAACTGAAATATATGTTTGCAAAGTCCTCTTTTTTTTCAAGAAACTTTGGTCACACGTCGTCGGATTAGGCCACGTAGGCTTGGCTATATTTCAGACAGCTTTCGTTTGACAAAAATCTGTGTAAATTATCTTCACATTAGGACCAAATCAGATCGATCGATTAATTGCCGAACAAGTTTCGGGAACGAAGCCAACAGGATGACTCATCACTAGATACTTCACTTTAGTTTCGTGACTTCACCCCAGCAGATGTTCTATGCACTGTCAATAAAAAGACTGACTCTTCTGTGAATTGGACATTTTATCAAACATTTGGGTAGTGTTGTTTGAAAAACCATCTGCGCAGTTGTTTTTTGCATGTGTGTGAATTTTTGGCAAACCGTGTGAAAAGGGGGCGAGATAATCAATGTAACCGCCAGAGGTGTGGGATTTGTCAGGTGAGACAAGTTCAGTTGAGAAGTAACATGGTATCGGAAAGCATGCTCGTGCTTACCTCAACTCAGTTGACAAGTACGTTAGTGAAGTGCCGTCCCTTTCACAAAGATTACCGTCCTTACAGAACGGTTATTTTCTGCGGACGGACTTATACTTGATTCATCTTCAAGGACGCCCATGTGACTTAAAATCACAAATATTAGGTGTGATTTGATCCATACGAGAACAGTGCCCAGTTCTTTTAGGTTAACCTAACCATGCGATTTGCGATTTAACTTTGAATGATGTCTTCATTTCGATTCAAGACGATACCGGTACTTGTTCCTGTGTAACCCTATGGCTTGCAGCGCTTCTCGTCAAATAAAAAGTCCAAGAAACGAAACAATGCAACCGGTCAGAATGAAGCACCTGTTTCGCTGTTCAGCTTGCGTCCCAAAGTCGTTCTGTCGGTTAGCTCAGTGTTGTTAATTAGCAGTGTTTTTTTGAAGCACCTGTTTCGCTGTTCAGCTTGCGTCCCAAAGTCGTTCTGTCGGTTAGCTCAGTGTTGTTAATTAGCCGTGTTTTTTTTTATTTTGACTGTTTTATTCGGCTCATTTGGTGTATCTTGACCCTTGCAATCGCATGAACTGAGGAAATGTTTTCAAAATCAAATGTTGGTCGATCGGTTTAGCTCTACATTCGTTTGCGTTTCATCACGATAACGAGTGTCAACCGAATGTGTAGAAAATGATCGAAACGGTGAGCTTTCTTGACGTTGTGGCTAGTGTACAGTCACTTCAGCAATCGCTGGCATTGCAACAACCTTAGAGATCTCACAATCTGCCCGATGTTATCGAGGCTTCCCTGCTCCATCTTGACAATATGCTTCAGACGCAAATCCTGTTTGACATTCGTCGATAACCGACACCACAGCTTTATAGCTGCCCATTTTTCCTGTCCGAAAGACCGCACTCAGAGGTGATCCTTGTGGTATGCCGCAACCAATCAGGCTAATCATACAATGTCACGTGTGCGAGAAAATTACGCGCGATGTTATTGGTTCAGCTATGTTGTTCGGTCAATTCAGCCAATGAAATGTGAGTTGACAATGTCCCGCAATCATACGTGATCGGTACAGAGTGCAGGCTGATGCGGCTGAACGGTAATCGACACATCAGACGTGCCTCAATGGTGGTAGAAGCATGCGAACTAATTGCCAAGCTCGGTGACCAGATCAGCTACCACCTGATCAACAGCCGAAAGGTACAGAAGCACAGTCGGGTTGGCAAATACCTCCTGCCTGGAATCCAGACCCTGAAACTCAATTCACCAACGGTTGTTGACACCGGTAAACATGGCTCGAACACGCAATCAGTAGTGCATAGGCAGCAAAGTTATCGCGTTCGCGTTGCCCAATTTCACGAACCGATTAATCATGCCATCTCCAATGCTTGGCTATGTCTCCCACACTCTTTTAATCCCGGCGACAAAAACTACAGCGGCTGGAACCAACGTACTCTTGATAAATGGCTTACAACTCAGGAATCAATCAACTGACTGAGAGACCTCAAATCATGGTGCAACATATCTTATCAAATCTAACCTTTACCTCGAGAAATACACTCAGTTGCAAACCAATTTGGTTTTTCACGAGAGACCCAATTGAATCTCTCGTTTATGATATTCTACAACTGAATGTGCTGCACATAGGCTACCTCATGATCCAGTTGGAACGATATTCGAGATATCGCAGCATATTTTCATAATGGAAGGGCGAAACCGGTCGTGGGCTGTCGAAGAGTTTTCAGCTACCTTGTGAGTACTAACCGTCACCTGTTTTGGTACATACGATTCGAATGAATTTCGAAAGTCTGCCACCTTATCCATCTCTTGAAACTGGAAGCAGACAAGACCAGAGATCAGACCCACGGATCCTTCAGTCAGCTGGTCGCACCTTATCACAGTCTGAGCATACCTTTCAGGGTTCACCACAAAACAAGAAAATTCTGGAAAGGCTCTTAAGTGATTTCACCTCGACGGTTCCACGTCGGCTGTGGAAATTTGCACAAAGTTTGAATTTTGAAAAGCATCACAGAATGATTCAAGGAAGCGGGGAAATTCTCGCTCACTGCTCCCATTCAAATAGTAGGAAAAAAATTCTCTACAAACGATATGAAAGTTTGCTTTAGAAGAGCATTTACTGAGGTTTTGGCTGAGTTTGAGTACCACATGTCCGTACAAGTGTATGTGGATTCGGGTGTGTCAGTTGATCAGTTAATCTCTGTTGTGGGGCGGGGTGAAGTCATAAAGAAATGAGTGTTCCAGCGTACGTCTCAACGTGCTTCACGGACCTGTAGTGACAAAAAGAGCACAGATTAACTGCAAGCTGACAAAGCATGTTTGCCTGATGACAGACAAGCAACAGAGCAGAAAGAATAGTATGAATAAATAAATAAATAAAGTGAATAAATAGCATGGATAAACAAAATAATAAATAATAATAATTGGCACAGTATAAAACAACGAAGAAAGGAAGGAACTTCAGATCAATAGAGGTCACACCCGGAACTTGGAAGGGTCAAGAACAGTGGTCACTCGAGCATCGATCGGAGTACGAGGGTAAAGGATGCCAAGCCCAGAAGTCAAGTGGACCTCGATGAAGCAGGACACAGGATAACCAATCCATCGTTACGCACCACTACACTCCCTGACAACGCACTGATGGCCTCAATTGGGGATGAAACGTTTGCAATCAAACTGCCCAGTTGAGCGAACAAACCAACGACCATCCACGCTACCTGAGCTATCAACATTTTCCTCCACAGAAGATAAGGATAAATTAGGAAGAGTGCTGTCACGAGTATGCGTATTTGGAGATACCCATCTCAACTCGCTTCCAATTTGGAAGTGACAAACGTGTTACCCATCTGACCCGTCAGCTTGATTTTAAAGATGGTCTACTGGAGCAGTCTCACCAACCGGTAGACCCGTGGTTCGAATCCACCTTCGCCCCGTGGACCGATCTTGTCGAGAAGTGGACAGGCTGACAGCATCTCAGCCCTCCGGGTCACATGGTAGCTAGGCACAGAAATCGTCTTAGGACTGATCGGTTATTGATTTATCTGTAGTTTGATTTGGATTTTTAATTAGTTTGTTGGGTCTGTCCTACTCGACATGGGAAGAACATAGAATGGTGCCAGGAAATGACGCGAACTGGATCACGCCTCAGTTAGGTGTCAGTCCTCGTTGGAGAGGATCTAGAAAATGGGGAACACAAAGTGTTGGTAGGTTGAGCAGATTTGGGAAGCTTCAGAAGGGAATTCGTCCTTGCCAATCCATGCTGAAAAGCCAAGAAGCAACACCCGTCACCTCACCATACTACTCAAATGGATAAGAGCGACGAGTGCCATAGAGATTTTCCGGATTCTAGATTAACAAAAAGGTTGTGACAGGTGTGAACCATAACGGATACAATAAGATGCTGAAACCAAGCTATCTAGATATCGATCAGAAAATCACTTTAACACCTCATGAACGGTGTCGAAAAATAACGGCAGTCAAGTAGAATGACTATCTCTTTGTTTGTAATGCACTACTCATAAGGTTGCTGAAAATTCGTCGAAAGCCCACGACAGGTTTCGCCCCTCTTGGGGCCCATCAAGTAGGCGCAGCCGCCGAGTTTCCGTCAACCTTATGTTCTACTTGAAACCAAATAGCATGAAATTAGCGAAATACACTCATTTGCAAACAAGTTTGGCTTTGCGGGAGACTCACCTGGAACCCAGTTGAATCTCTCGTTTGTAATCTCTTTAGTTTAAATGTTACAGAGCACCGTTAACCAAAAGAAAGCTTGGTGAAACTTGTTCTCTGCATATAAGCGTCTAGCCAATTTAAACATCGAAACTATACGCGCAAAGACATCCAGTTGTTTGCACTCAATGGGAGGTCGAACATAGGCGTACTCGTAGGGTGAGATCTATCCCCGGCCAGTACGTTTTATTAACCGGCCAAGTTTTCTTCAAATCTATGGTCATGTTATAACGTCAGTTAGGCTGATTTTTAGTCCTTGAGAGAATGGCTTTTTTAGGCATGCTAGGTAAACGATTATGTGAGGTGAAGTTCATCGCAAGCTTACCACCACGTGCATGTGAAACAGCCCGTTTTATCAAAGCCGTTGTTTTGTTCGTTGTCTGGGTGACTTGATATAGGCCGGAAAACCGACCTACGAGAAATTGTGAGTAGTTTCCTTTATGAAAATTTACTGCGATATCACGAATATCGTGCCAACTGAACCGTGAGGCGGCCTGTGTGCAGCACATTCTGTTGTAGGATATCATAAACGAGAGTTGAGTCTCTCGTGAAAACCAAATGTATTTGCAAATGAGTGTATTTCTCGAAAGTGTGAAACGGTTAAGGAGGTCGGACATCCCGTGCACGGAGAGCAACATGGCAAGGGTGAATCACCTGATCACATGAGCACGTCGGACTGGACAGCAAAAGACATGAATGGAGCCAATCAGCGCGGTCGTGGCCCCAACCGCCCACACACACACTAGATGAGTAAGAGCAACATAGGCGGAACGGCAGGACTAAGTAAAAACGTGAGGGCGGTGAGGACATACCAGCAAGTTAGTGCTGAACTGAGTGACTGAGTTCGTTTGGGATGTTTGAGTCACAGCTTATTGATTCCGTCCTTGTTCGGTCGATGATTCTGGACATTCAAAGACGAACATGTCTATCGATCTGTTCCGTCACATGCCAATAACCAGGTAAAACGTCTAATATAACTGACAAACACACGTTATCTTTAAAAAAAACACCTTGGTCACACAGGTAATCTCCGTCACCCTCCACAAGTGGCAATTTTCTGACTTTTCGATAAAACAATGTGTGTCAATGCAAATCGATAGCGGAATGCTAACAGCCGTAAAAAAAGTTCGGGGATACCGTGCTAGTAACCATTCAAAGAGTTTTGTCTCCTTTCTCTCAAACAAACTTCTTGGATGAACGATCGGTTGGTTCTTCCAATTGATTCAGGGAGAAATTGGTAAAAAAAACTGCAATTTCTTGCCATAAAGGTCTGGACAGAAACATTTGATCTTTCACTCACAGAGAGGCATGTCCCGTTTAGCTGTGTTAGCTACTGGAGTCTTTGTTAACCCCAAGTTTGCAGTATTAGTAATTGGATATATCATTAGCCGATCGCCACATGGCGCACCCGAGCCTAAAGTGACGTCCAAGACTTTCTTCTAAGTTCATATGCATAACGAAACTGGTGGGGTAGAAGACTCCGTCATAGTCAGTAGTATATTTACATTCCTTCCCATGTTGTGTGGGATACAAGCTGTCTCAAGGACATTCACGTGATCACCATATCAGGGAACTACGCCTACCTGATGTGTCTCAGACAGGGTCAGGTCGATAGTGAACTATCTGCGGATTTAAGCAATCCTCTATACCAATCAATTCAGAAACAAAAGAAAACTCAGTGGATGACTTCGTGGCGGAACATCGAGCAAAGATTAACGTGTCGTTGACCACAAGGGACTCTGCCGAGTATTCAACTTTAACAGTTTCAATATTCATATGAGCTGAAAAGTAGACACTCGACCAAAATGTTACGCAAATCACGGTTTGATTATCTCAGTTTCGAGGACTAGGCCAACCTGAAAGTCTCGAACAGTGCAAAACCGGTGGGGTGGGCTGTCTGCGGTCGTTCCACACGGTGTCTGGGATTCTCTCATCAGTTTTAGCTATGCCACTGCATATCTGTTCAAGTGATTGAAACGAATAGCTCGCGCGAAACTGACTAAAAACGTACTAGTGGTAATCCAGGCCAAGATGCTTTCTGTTTCCTGAGTGTGCCAATGAATTTGACAGAAGTTTCCCATTTTTAAGTGTAACCCATAACTTTACTGTCCCCTACGTATGCCTATGATTCTACCTGCCCGGACTGTACCATGGAGAACCTACTAATGCGTTGATTTCCGTATGAAACCCGAGGTAAACAGTTCCATTACTCATTCTACAGGCTATGGTCCTCTGGCAATCGATTCAACCGAACATCTCCTGCGACTAGCTAAGTGTTGTACATGTCATAAAGGATATTTCTTCTAAGGATAAAGAACTTGCTGGTTGGTGAAAAAACACCATTTCAAAAGCCATCATCCTTCGAACTTTAGAAGCCACCCAAATGCCCGATATCCCTGTACGCATTGCTTCTTGGAAAAGATCTTGGGAGTGCGGAATCTGCACACATTTGTTTACATTTTGGGCTCAGTGAATCACTGTACCCCCAAAAAACATCCAGAGTGAAGTTTAAGTTAGTAGCACATTTATGTATATCCTGCCGCTGTGCATGAGGTCGCA